TGGGCAGTGCTTTTCCCAACGTCACGGCAGAGCGATCCGAGCTGAGCAATGAGACGGGCCGGGTGGAAGGGGTGCAGTGGCCAGAGGCGATGGCAGAACGTCAAGCTAATGGAACTGCAAGCCCACGGCTACCCCCCAGCTGCTGGTCCCAGCAATGGCCTGGGATTTGCTGCAGCCTCAGGGCATGCTTCCTGGTCCCCTCATCCAGGCTGAGGCTTTCGTCTGGCCGCCCCAGCCCCCTTGGTCTGCTGGCTAATGGCAGACGATTGGTTTTGCCAAGGGAGTCACCAGAGAAACTCCGTTTTCACAGTCTGTCTTCAAGAACTATGATCTCGACCAAGATGGCTACATCTCTCAGGAAGAGTTTGAAAAGATTGCTGCGAGTTTCCCCTTTTCCTTCTGTGTGATGGACAAAGACAGGTAAGAGAGGGTCTGTGTACACAGGTGTGTGGTTCTGAGCCCTCATTAGTGAGAGGAGGTGTATAGCTGTGTCACCAGAAGAATTTTTAAATCAGTTTTAGGGGTGGGTCACTGGACTAATTTGTAAACCCAGGGGTGGTACTGCCACAGTTCCTTACTGAATCCTGGAGCTAAGAGAGCTCAACTAAATCCCTCTGCCTTTAGCTTGGACCACAAGGGAGCACTTCAGAAATGTACACCCTCTTAAACACCCCAGAACTGAAGAGTCCAGTCATCTGTCCACTTAAGAATAGTCAGCCGTGAACAAGAGGAATTTGTCTTCCTGCAGCTTATGGCAAACCACACCTATTAATGCTTTGTTCAGTGACTTTCTCCAAGGCTACCTAAAGCCTACCCTAGTTCTCTATAAGAAACCACATGGATGGTTGGTGGGCTCCAGATATGGCCTGCCCAGAGTTGGAAACAAGTATAAAATGTGAATCCAGAACTCCTCCTGTATACATTTTCCATTTCTTCAAGTCGTATGCATAGTTATCAAAATAGTTAGGCAACACTGGTTTAGCCAAAGACCAACTCCGAACATGAGTACTGCCATCTCACTTGTCACATACCAGTCATGTATCCTTAAGAGAAGAGCTCAAGGAAGTGACGCTTAGGTTATCATTCCCACTGTATCACCACCAGAGGACAAGGAGAAAGGTCAGCCCCCCCCAGCCCCCCCTGGGCTCACACACTTGCCTCTGCCGTTTCCTGGCAGGGAGGGTCTCATCAGCAGGGACGAGATCACAGCCTACTTCATGCGGGCCAGCTCCATCTACTCCAAGCTGGGCCTGGGCTTTCCTCACAACTTCCAAGAGACCACCTACCTGAAGCCCACCTTCTGTGACAACTGTGCTGGATTTGTAAGTGTTCTCCATGTGCTTCCAGGATGAAGTTGGAGAGGGAGACAGGGCAGTTCATAGGATAGACAGGCGCAGATCCTGGGACCCTATGCACTCATCCCAGCCGAGTGTCAGCAAACACCTGGGGGGAGAACAGGGGCACTCCTGCTCTGCCACTCCCTCCTGTGTGTTTTCCGCCCTGGTGCGAGGCCTGGGAGGAATTGTATGGAAATGTCTGATTGGCGGTGGTTTACTTTTTAAGTATTCATATGCTGTTCATCTTTAGAGAAGAGGAATACAGGCATGCCTCAGAGACACTGCACCTTTTGTTCAAGACTATCGTAATAACCGAGTGTCCTTAAAGGGAGCCTCGTGAATGTTTTTTGTTTTCCACTGTATGCAAACGTTTTGCTTATGCTGTACTATCGTTAATTATACAGTAGCATTATGAAAAATTTGAAATAGCTGTGAGAATTACCAAAATGTGACACACAAAACTAAGCACATGCTGTTGGAAAAACGGTGTTGATGGAGACTTGCTGAATGCAGGGCTGCCACAAGTCTTTACCTTACGGAAAACAGTGAATCTCGGTGAACCAAGTATGCCTGTATGACACTTAGTCTATCAAAAATATCCGCCTTTAAAGTGCTGCTGCCCCTTCTCTGCCCCACTCCTGTCCAATAGTTTCCTCCCAAACCTGAGTTCCTGACCTCAGGACTCTCTTTATATTCTTGTTCCTCAGTCCCAAAACCTAGCCCATTTGTTCCACACCTGGAGAAATCCCACATCCTAAGTCCACTGCGGTGAATTCTGCAGAACATTTGACTCTTGTCAGTCCAAACGTTTCCTATTTTCAGTGTAAGGTCAGAAGGGTCAAAGCATAGGAGAAAGAAAAGCTTTACCTCCCACGCGGACGAGGGGTGGAATCAGAAAATAACGAATGAATGTCAGTGTGTAGCTGGACCCTGCGGAGATGGGTGGTGGCAGGCGCATTCTAATGAGTCTTCTTCGTCTCACAGCTCTGGGGAGTGATCAAGCAAGGCTATCGATGCAAAGGTAAGACTCACCTTTGTCTGTGACTTCCAGTCCCCTCATCTATTGGGTCTCCTCAAAAGCATTTGCTCCTCGTTCACTCAGTCCACAAATCCTCAGTAGAACACATAACCTCATCCCTGAGAGGGACTGACAGCGCATAGGAGAGGAATGCAGCTTCCTCTTACAGGATCCACTGGTTCTGGCTGTGGGTTGGCTGGTAGAGAGTTTGCCTTAAGTCACGGGAGGGCGAGTGCCCAAAGAAAGCGACATGACCACATCCGTTACAGAAGGCAGTTTCTAAAGATCCTTGTCGGCTTCTTTCTTATAAGTGGACACATGAGGACATTATTCATCCTTCCTCATAACTGTGACACTTCTGGAGTGAAGACAAGGAGGTGACCTTTCACATGGTCTCCTTAGCATGGGCACTTGGTGCAGATGTCCAACACACTTTCTTTTCCCTCTGAAATAACAAACCGCTGCTTCTGATTCTGGGTCTCACTGATAAGGTTATGCCAAGTTTGTGAAGTCCAGGGTTTAACAAAGTGAGAACATGACTAGGTTGGTTGGGAACGTTGGGCCCCCTGGGTAAAGAAGACAGGATAGGCATGCATGACAAAAGAGCACTGCATGAACTTGGCTTTGAGATCGGGGGAAGAGACAGGCAGAAACTTCCTGTCTTGTCCACAGACTGTGGGATGAACTGCCACAAGCAATGCAAAGATCTGGTGGTGTTCGAGTGCAAGAAGCGGGCGAAGCACCCAACAGCTCCCACAGACAGCAGCTCCGCTGTGGGGCCGACGGCCGGGCTTTGCCCGCTGGGAGCCAAAGATGTGCTCCATGGTAAGTAAGCAGACACTGAACTGAGAAGAGGCATCCTGTTATGTGAAGAGGGAAGGATGACGCTATGGGGAGGAAAGATTAATTCATTATCGGGGCTTCACTTCCAATGGGTAGGCCAGGGCTGACCCGCTGGACAGTTCTGGATTCTCAGCTCTAGAAGTCCTAGAACAGCAGAAGCAAATGAGAAACAAAAGTCAGCACGTTGCTTGAGTACATACAAGTGCAGGAGTCCCTAAGAGGTGCCAACAGTTGAGGCACTCGACTCCTAACTAAAAGGCTGGCTGTTTGAATCCACCCAGCCTCGGGTCAGAAGAAAGGCTCCGTGATTGGTTCCCAACAGGTCGCCGCCTCACACCCCCCAGAGGGCAGCTCTCCTCGGCAGCACAGCTGGTCAGCTCAGCAGCAACTGGCGAGGTGTTCTGGTTTCCACCAAATACAAATCCTGACTTCTGACCGAGACAGATCCCAAAGCAAACATTTAACCAGGCCCCTCTATTCCCATCCCAAACCTGAAACAATGAGACGGAAGATGCACATGCATGCACGTGTGTGCACATTACATGTATCATATTTAACAGATTACAGTATGAAAATAGTATACTCAATGTCAAAGACTCAGGTGCATTTGAAAAGAAGTGTCCCAGTAGCCCACTGCCTCACCGGGCTCCAGGCCTAGAAGCAGGCCAAGGTGGTTGGGGATTTGAATTGTACAGAACCAGAGACCAAAATGCCTACAGTACAGGTGACAGAGACTTGCCCAGATAATGAAGGCTTCTAGCATTAGAACTGTTAGAAGGGTGAGTCCCCAAAGAAAGTGGAGTAATCACATCCAGAACAGAAGACCAACAGCTTCTGAAGGTCCCTGAGGACATTAGTCATCCTGCCTCCATCACTGTGAAACGTCCTGTGATGAGTTAGAGAACTCTAGTTACCGGCCCGTCTTTTCAGTCATACAGATCTTGGCTCGTCTTAGCTAAAAAACGTAATAATAAAAAAATATACATAAAACATTTCAATAGAAATATATACTTCTGTAAAAGTACTTTCACTTATATAATAACTTCCTTTTCCAAACCCTGGCATATATTTTCACCCCACTTCTCTGAAGCCTAAACAGAATTCAAAATGTATGCTTATTAGTCAATGGTGAATGGAGCCTAATGATTTTTTCAAAGAGCTCAGAATTACTGCAGAGGCTGCAAAGCAGTGCACTGAGATGATCCGCAGCCTACCTCAAAGCCTGCCATCCACCTCAAATCCTCTCCTACTTTCCCAAGAAATTACTTCTTAATGGTTAACATTACCAGACTGGGTCCTGGGGGAGTTGGGGGGCAGGGGACGGGAAGTGTTGGTTAAAAACAAAAACACAAAACGGAGAATGACTCCTCAGCCCTTTCCCATTAGCATCAAACAAGGGCAGCAACTTTGCAGCACCTTCTCAACACTAGGATGTTTCCCTCGGTTAGTTAAGCCAGGCCTCCCTGGACCAGCAGGTAGAGGAGCCCTCCAAAGTTCCGACCAGCGGGACGGAGACTGAGGTATGGAGAGCTCCCAGTCAGTAATACCCACACAAGTATTTATGGGGCGTTTCTGTCTACACTGACCTTTATCCCTTTATTCAGGGAACTCCCGATTGAGGCCAGGGGTTCAGGTTACCTACAGAAACCACCTTTGTGCGAAATAACGATGCTCTTTCCTCAGGGTGGCTGCATTAACCATGATGCCAATGGCCATGGCTTGGCCAGCAAAGCTCGTGGAGTTCAGCCCTCATTCATTCCCTAAATTGGTGGCTGCAAATGGTCCCATTGGGTTCTGCTCAACTCCTATAGCAGTAAGGTTTCACTTGAGACTAATGGGTTAACTCAGCCCTTTCAGGCTAGAGTACTAACTTGGTGTGCATTTTCTGCAGGGCCTGAAGAGGGACCTTTTATGTTTCCCAATGGGGAGGCTGTGGAACACGGTGAGGAAAGTAAAGTCCGGACCATCATGCTGATGGGTGTGTCCTCACAGAAGATTTCTGTTCGCTTGAAGAGGACTGTCACCCACAAGGCCACCCAGACTGAGCCACTGCCCTGGAGTGGCAGGGACGGTCCTCCGGGTCCTCTTGTTCTGTCCTCCCCAAGGAAGACAGCCCAGGATCCGCTGTACCTGCTTCCCAGCCCCACGTCACCGTGCCCCAGCCCAGGCTTAATCCGAAAACGGGCCTTTGTCAAGTGGGAGAACAAAGAATCCTTCATCAAGTCCAAGGAGGAACTCCGTCATCTCAGACTCCCAAGCTACCAAGAACTGGAACAGGTCTGTCCCTTTCCCTTTCAGCCTCTCACTCACACCGAGCCCGCGACCCAGAGCTGAGAGGAGGCGAAGTGGGGCGAAGCCAGGGAACCAACCGCACATGAGACAACTGGGACCAGAGTGACGACTACCTGGGTCAACCCAGAGAACAGCAGCAAGCAAATAAAAAAGGAATCCAATCTTGTCTTTTTCACCGAGACCAGTGTGGGTCCCGGTTCTGATTACAGGAGCCAAACAGGATGTACAGGGTTCCCTATTACCTTCTGTGTCAGAGCCAGTAGCCCCGAGTCTGTTCACAGGAGGCCCATTGAGAAAAACCAGTCTCTTTTGATCAGCTTTATTGTGCTATACCAATGCTCATTTCTCCCCCCACCACACCGCATCTAAAACAAATCTGCTCACATCTTTTCACTAAAGGTTACTGTTAAGTAGGTTTTGGTCTGGGATCTTGGCTTGGCCATCTCCCTCCAAAGGGTGGGTGATCTAAGCATCACAATCGAACAATGCAGAAATAGAGTATATTGTAAGCCACCACAGAAAACGTCGCCCTCTTACTAAATGAGGCGAGTGTTTTCTCACACATCAGGAATGTGCTATCACCTACACATATTGGAACAAATCAACAGAAGCAAGCAAATAACATCATAACCTATGACAGCTGTGGCACAACGAACCTTTTTTTTTTAGAAATTAGGCTCACCGTGTCCTAATTATAAGATACATCATAGAGGCATTTGAAAAGGAATCATCAAATTCATTAAGGAAAGCAGAGCAGCAGTTAGGAATGTGCTACAAGCATTTGCGGGAAGGGGAGAGAAGGCAGGGGGAGACAAGAGTGAGAAAAGGGTCTTCAACTAGACCAGCTAGTCAGTGTCGTGAGCCGCCAAGCTGGTTCCAACTCATAGAATGAAACTGCCTGGTCCTGCACCATCCTCACAATTGTTGTTTGTATGAATCCGTCTCATCGGGGGTCTAACTCTTTCTTCGCTGCCCCTCCAATTTACCAAGCATGCTGTCCTTCAGGGACTGAGCTCTCCTGATAACATGTCCAAAGTATGTGAGACAGTCTTGCCATCCTTGCCTTTAAGGAGCATTCTGGCTGTATTTCTTCCAAGGACTGTGTTTGATCATTCGGCAGTCCATGGTAATTTCAATGTTCTTCATCAGTCTCCTTATACACATGGATACCAAGAGACTGGATGCCATGGCTTGGGTCAGGCATGCCTTAGTCCTCAAAGTAAGATCCTTGCTTTTCAACACTTTAAAGAGGTCTTGTACAGAAGATGTACCCAATGCAGTAAGAGTTGTCCAGTTCTCTGGGGTCCGTTATTAATGTTTAGTGCAAAGTTTATTGTCAGGGCTTGTTTCGATAGACCCCTTGTTGCCAGGCAGTAGTTTCTTATCTGCTCTAGGTAGTTTGTGGCAGGAATGCAATGACAGATAATCATTTTATCAGAGGAAAATTCTTAGCCTGCCTTTTCCCCAAAGCATCAAGGTTTGCCCTGCGTTTAGAAGCCTATCAGTATAAACGCGAAAGCAACATCCACCTAGGGAGAATTCCTTAAATAACCCAAGATACAAGACAGAAAGCGACTCCCTAGTCCACAGCCCCAGATCTCCCGACCACACTCCAGGGGTTGGGTCAGAGGAACATCCAAATGAAACGAGGTAATGTACGCCAAGCCCAACTAGATCAAGATTAGGAACAAATGAAAAACAGATTTTCTGGATGAAAGGTACTCTGTGGCTTAGAGTATTTTTAAGAATTGCTTTATGAATCAAGGCAAGTTGGTGGCAAAATGTGGGGCACACACATACATAGCCTCGTTAGTAGAAACACACCCCCCCTCGTTAGGAGTAGAAACCACCAAGGGTGGTTTTGAAGAAAATGAAAGAACCTTGCAAAGTGAGCTCAATAAGAGTTGAAAGGGACAGGTTTGTGTTTTCAATCCCAGATGTTTGGGAGACTGTCCTACTCGGTCATCTATAAAATGCAGGCTTGGGCTCCCTGCTTTCTATAGCTCCTTTTCAAACCTTGGCATTCTGCATGGCTTTCAAAAGGTGCAGTTAGTCCATAACAGCGACTTCTTGAGGCAAGAAACAGGTGGTAGAGTGTGTTCAGGTAACTTAGCCCAGAATAATCTTTACCCAGTAACACCAGTGACTCAGTCCTCTCACCATCTTCTTTCTCAGTCACCTGTGAAAGGGACCCAGGGACCCTATTAATTCATTGTTTATATTTTAGAGGAGCAACAAGGTCCACTTCCCCAGGAGGTGGAACCCTTACCTAGTGACGTGTCTGCCTGTAATCCAACACTCTCATCTCTCACTAACAAGCTAAATTAAAACCAGATTTCAAATAATATGTGATACAGATGAACCTTTTAATACTTTTGCATGTGTATACCTCTGAACCTTCAGAGAGAAAAAGACCCAGCCAAAGCTTAGAGTTGGGTATGCCTGGTTCAAATTGTCTGTTTCTATAGAGGCTGGATGTTGTGAGGATTAAGATGCTCTGTTATCCATCAGCACAGAAACTAGCACAAAGGTGCTTAATAGTCCAGTGAAACCTGAGACCCCAAACTGGATGGGAATGCCTTGTTTTCCTGGGTTTCTCCCTTCGACAAGGGTGCAGTCTTACAATTTTGCTATTGTCCTTTTTTGGCTAGATGATGAGGAGTTCACCTTCTCTGACAGTTGTCTGCTTTACACCGGTTTTGGCTTTCACTGGCTTTACTATATAAGTAGTTGAGTAGTAATTCCGGTTAGAAACGAGACTCACTGCTATCAAGTCTAGCCCAACTTACTGCAACCCTGTGGACAGAGAGGGCCTGGGGGTTTCTCAACTGTAAACCTACAGGTGTGGGAGGCCTCATCTGCCTCCGGCGACCTTGTGCTTAGCGGCCATTATGCCACCAGGACCACTGGGAAAGCGCCTGACACCCCCAAATTAGCCCAACAGCATCTATAGATCCTTTTAGGATATCGGTGTGGTATAATGATATCATTGGAATCGGAGTCAAAAGACTGGAAATTTACTGTTGACTACAGTTAAATACTGTAGCTGTGAATTAGAAAGTAAATCCCAGTTTAGGGGGATGAGGGAAATTTGTATCTTTATCAAAGGGGACATTAGTTTTCAGTGATTTAAGGGTGAAGGACCCTAAATTATATGAGCTGCAAGACGTTACAGAAGACAGCATTCTGAGTCACTGCTCTTGCAGCCCAAACCTTAGGAAAGACCCTGGTTTCTGCCTGATAAATTCATCCCCTGCTATGCAACATCCAAAGGTCTTGTCATTACCCATACTGCCTGGAAATTATTCTGCCTGCTAGCCCCTCACATCTTTGAGATAATAAACTAATTGTTTTTTGCACATGCTCATTGGAAACTACTTTCTATTTAGGGCAAAATCATTGTCTTGAAAATAGTTTTTATTTCTCAACCACAGTGAATAGGAAATGCCAATCAAGTGTAGTATCTCCAATATTGTAACTAACGTGGTATCACTGCTGCTTGATTAACATACGTCATCCTTTCTTCCCCTTAGGAAATAAACACTCTGAAAGCGGATAACGATGCCCTCAAGATCCAACTGAAATACGCACAGAAGAAAATCGAAGCCCTCCAGCTGCAAAGAAGCCGTGATCACGTCATAGCTCAGATGGACCAGGGCGACTGTTCCTAACGCAGACGGCTAAGGAGCACAAAGCGGTAGCAGCGCGTCCCGAGGATCTCGGCTCCTGTGCTGATTGGCACCACATGGAGACCCAGGGAATCTAGACCAGAGACTGACCTGCCCTTAAAAGGCTACTGTGTAAAGGAAAATCCAGTTACCTTTTGACCTAAAAGATTCCTAAGGTGTGACAGTTTTCTTTCAGTCAACTGAATCAAGGAGGAAGAATGCGGTTATGTTTGCCATTCAAACCACCTTCCCCGGCCCGAGGCTGACATCAACAGTGCTGGAGACTCGACTGTAGTTTCCTGACTCCCAAGTGGCCAGCTTCCTTAGAACTAAAATCCCTGGGGAATGAATTTACTTCCTTTTCAGTTTTCCCAAGAATTAAGAGATTTCCTTTGTTCCATCCAGTCAAAGCTTGATTTGGAAAAACACCCATATTCCAAAGGAGATCTACTTCCTCTAAATCCCAGCATTCTTTATGAATCTGGTCCGTTTTTCACTACCTCAGGCCTAATCACTTAGCCTCTCACCCCTCCTTCCTCCACTACACTCATCCATACAGGACAACTACCTGAACTGCTAGAGATGGAGTGACGACTTTTAAACAATGTGGCCACATAGAGTTGGAAGCCCTAGTTTTAGTCCCACAGCCCTAAAGTAACCAAATTGAGTACCTAGAAAACAGCTAACACCGTCACACACGACTGGCTGACTGGCTAACATGAACACAGTGCACACGTCTGCCATCATACATTCAGTACATAGAACCGGGAATTTGGGGCTTTAAAAAAAATCTGTGAAGAGTCAAACTCATATTCCATCTTATCTTTTTCTAAGTGTGCTGTCAAATTTTTCTTTTGAACTGAATTTGTGCTGAAAGCTATTTTAATGATCGATACTTCGAAATAAGCTAACTGAATCAGCGGCATCAGTAACAGTTGACCGCATGTACGTACAACATGTACACAGTGTGTCTAGACTCTATCAGGCATGTTGCCTAGAGTTTGGTTTCTACCTTCATAAAACGTGGACATGACTTTAATAATTTCAGTCATTCACACATGCTCACAAGTAGAAACTTCAGTTTGTTACAAGAACTCTCACAATGTAAATTGTACCAAGCTTGGCAAAACCCCAGTAATAGTCCCGTGCATTATCTGTCGACCAAGATTAAATGATAAACAGGCTCATTTAGCAACTGTCCACAAACTCGCCTGTCAACTTATTTCCCTACAAAAGTTCATCTTTGAGGGGGACGTGTGAGGGTGCCTTCCATGCTCTGGAGTACTTCTTGAGATTCTGACCCAGATTGACTAATTACCATGAATATGGTCTTAAAAACCAAGTTTCAAGTGTAGAACCAGTAGGTCCAAATCTTAATGAGAAGACAGAGTATACATACAGTGTTGCTGACTCGGGGGGAGACAGACCACGGAAGGGTCTCTGATGAAAAGCGCACTTTCTTGTAGACTATGGTAGTTGGTTCTAGGGGCATAAAACTAGCATTTAGTATTAAACCTTTCAAGTGTTTCATTACACTCTATAGAATCGCTAAAACACACCTTTACTATTTTGTAGTTACTTGGTATCATTATAGGGCATGCAAGAGGACAAACACAAGTTTAATGACTTTAAAAATCATTTTCTTGCTTTTCTTTTCTTGGGATACAGACCCAAGAGGGTAGGGCTCAATTTCTTTAAACATGGTCATATAAGCAGTTCAAAAGAAAATCTTTCTTCTTATCTTCCGTTCAAAAGACACCCCCCCTCCAGGTTGTTTTACATGTGCAAGCTTTAAAAATTCAAAAGCATACACTCTTAATTAATCAATTTAGAGTTGTTGGGTGGAAAGGGGGTAGGGAGGGGGGCTTTTGGCATTCCAGAATTTATCCTTCAAATGGATAGGAGGCAGCAATTTCATCCTAAGGTTTTACAACCCAGCAAGGGGCTAGAAATTGTGTGAATACAGGCTGGTTGCACAGAGCTGCATAAGGCTCACAGACCCTATAGAAACAGCTCCTCACGCCGAGGGTGCCATTGTTTGCCTGTCAAGCTGTTACTGGGTACTGTCAAGGAGACTCTGACGCAGTGACTCCATGTGTCAGAGTGGAATGACCCCACAGGCTCATCTCATACGGACTCGAAGTCAGTCAACTATCTGCCAAAGCAAGGTCTAATCTTGTTTTATTACAGCAATTACACTTCTCATTTTCTCTTCTAGTTGTTGATTTACTTTTTACTGACCATCTGTGAATTTGTGTCTAAAGATGTATAATGTAAAAGAATCGCAAGGAAAAAACTGTATAGATTGTAAAGGTTTTTTGATACCTACTGTAAGTTTTCTGTGTAATATTTATATGATAAAAAACATTAGGATCCCTAGAACATACGTAGATCTCGTTTTATTTATTTGCCTCAGACCATGAGTATTTAGAAGCTTCCCCTGAATTTCTATAATCTAGAGCTGATGCCACTCCCGTTCTAGTAACCAAACAAGTTTTCCTGGAAAAATAAGCAAAGCACGTGCATCATTCCATTTGAGTCCTTCTAAATCTTTATAGCGCATGGAAGAACAGCAGAGAAATATTTATCCTCTCCTCATTTCATGACTTACAGTCATCTCCAAATAGTCAATGTTGTCATAAAAACAATATAAAGGGAGACAAACTTAGTGATCACTTCTCTGCGGCTTTCAACTTAATTTCCGTTTCATTGACCCAAACTAGCAGGTACAAAGCCATTGTGAAGTGTGAATGAAACTGGTGAAAGCCAGGCTCAAACGCAGGTATGGACCCAGGGCTATTCATTTGTAGCCATGATCACTTAAAGTGATTAGAGAAAGACAGGTTGTATGTACCCTTAGTCTGCAGCCAAGGTTTGTCTCAACTGCCCAGTGAACAAGGGAACCAATCAAATTCCAATGTAACGTGCATTCTGACACATTTGGATGTGGGTGTATTTATGATTTTGGCAATTGTTAATACCCCATGCAATGAGATGAATGTGCACTGGCAGCTTGACGATACAGGAAAGGGTGAGCGGTTTCCCTGCTTCCACCCTCAGTGGCCATCCCAGCTATCTGCCCAGTGCCCCCGAGAGCATCATGGCTCTGAATGCTTACTGGCCACAAATCTTCCTTCCTAAGGTAGTCAATCTTTGGTCCAAATTAAAGCTAACTGAATGTTTTTATCTTGGGTTTTGCTTGTTTAGTGAAACCAGATTTCCCTCATCTGCGAAACACATGAAAAAAGTCCAGAGAAAAATCCCTGTTTCAGCGAATGTGTAATGTGTGCTAATTACGTTTGACGATGTATAGTCTTGAAGAGAGGTCAGCTATTTCTTTATCAGTCAGGACTGTCTATGGGTTCTATCAAATGCCCCAGGTCAGACCACAACAGAACAAAAGACCTATCGCCGTCAGTCCATTCTGACTCAGCGAGACCCTCTAGGACCCAGAACTGCGGGCTTCTGAGACTGACTGACTCTTTACTAGAGCAGACAGCCGCATCTCTCTTCTCTGGGCAGCTGGTGTTTAAAACTGCTGACACTGAGGTTAGCCACTCAATTTGTATAACCACTGTGCCATCAGGGTTCCTCAGGGTAGACAAAAGCTAGGGAGAAGGGGGGAGGATGAGGTAATAGAAAAAAATGAAACTGAGAATCAAGCAAAGAAGAATGAAAGAGAGCTATAAAAAAAGTGATGTATTTTGGGAAGCGGTGGAATGTCCCTCCTTCAGTCTGCATTTGCACTGTGTCAATTTATCAAACCTTTTTGCATTATAGCTTTAACAGTAAGGCTCCAAATCTGCCTCTCTTTTATTTCTCCCTAGACGTCCCTCAACATACCCTCCTGAAAAAGAAACTTTTGCTGGACAGAAATAAAAATCCCTCCTTAGAGAAAAGAATGAAACACTAGGAATGTGTAAACAGGAGTGGTTCCGGCTTCAACGCAATTTCAGGGCCAGTGCTGACCTTCAGGAGCAGCACTCAGTGAGGGCACGGAATCTTCCCAGCCATGGATCAGCTAATGTGCCCACCACATTTACCACCAAACTTTTTAGGGGTAAAATAAGTTGTAAGTAATTATAAACCCTCTTGTATACCACCACTAAAACTTCCAGAAAGACATACAGCAGAAATGTAAAACTTTCAAGTGGATTTTTTTTTTCATTTAATAACTCTGAAAAATATTTTTCAGTGCTCATCATTAATGATGACAGTGTTTTTTCAACTATGAAAAGCCTTTTTCTTCAACTATTAAATTAAGTCTCCACCTATCTAAAAGCACATATAAATAATCAACTACGTTTATGTTTTCCTATCCTAAACACATTTCTTTGGAGGGTTAGTTTTTAGAAATACACAGCCAAGATGGCAATATACACAAATAGTTGCTTTTAAAATATTAATGCTATTTTCTATTGTACCACAGGGTTTACTGTAAAACAAAACCAAAAAAGTGCCAGGGATAGTAAATACCATTTGTCCACTGATAACAATTTTTATCTACTAAATAGGCTGATCACAGAAAATTATCAACTCACAGGTGCTGACCAGAAAGCCTACTTTAGGATAAGAATTTTAGAGTGGTGGGATCAAAATGGTGTGACTAGTTCTTTCCCCTCTAACTCTACACAAGTCAAAAGGCATTATTTGGCTGACCCTTGAAACATTCATGACAAGTCCTCTTCTGGTTTCCAAACTTGCACATGTACTAGGGTGTTTATGAAGCCATCTGAGAGGGGCAAGCAAGTGTCTTATTCCTCTTTGACAAATCAGAACAAATAGAACCTTTCGAGGTGGAGGTCATTGTACCCTCGCATCTCGGGGCCGCTACATGATCTGAGGTCACAACTCCTGTTGGTCCCTGAACCACCGAGGTGATTCCTAACCCCGTGGCTCCGCCTCTAGCCGTGATGACAGTGGGGATTGCCGCCTTGGTCCTGTGCAACACTCCCGGCCTTCCTTCTCCTCGGCGGCCTAACGTGAGGGCACGCTCAAGAAGACATACACACAGACAGGGTCTTTCCCACCACCGGGTGTAATTAGCACGTGTTACAGCTTCTTTAGAGTAACCCGGACCTCAAGCTTGAACTCTGCTTTGTCAAACAAAAACCACACAGATTTTTAAATCCAATTGGAAAATAAACATGCACAGCACAAAAGGAGACCTGGGAGTCAATGGATGGAACTTTAACAAAAGCCTTGCCAGAGGAGTGTCCTCCCATAAAAGAAAACACCAAATCAAGCCAACTGCCTACTGAACGCAAGTATCGGGCCTCCCCTATTTTGTGAAGCAGAATTAACACACAGAAAACACATCCACAGCAATACGAGTAAGACGATAATCTATATTACTTTCCATTACAGATGGGGTCATTTTGCTCTCAAACCTAAATAAAATACAGGTTAACAATCTAAATTCAATCAAGACAATAAAATAGTTTCCATTTTTCCAAGTTGGATAGTAATAAATATTTACATTTTTAGAAATTATTTTTGTTCATTTTTCGTTTTCTAGAAAGATACAGCATGCGCAGGGTACATAGAACATGGGGGGGGCATCACTTGGTGCAAGAGATCAAATGGTAGTATAAAACAATGCTCTGACCCATCAACTCAATTCAAGAATGGTATCAGAATGTCTACTAGGTTTACTTCAACGATGATATTCGTATGTAAAACACTATGCTAATATATCTATCAGAAGTAAGCACTGCTTCCTAATGCCTATCATTTTTAGTATCTTCTATATCCACCACCGCCACCTCCCCCATAAGGATGATCTCCATAACCTCTCCCACCATAGCCTCCTCTCCCTCCATAGCCCCCTCGGCCTCCATCACCTCCTCCACCATGGAACCCCCCTCCTCGACCACCACCACCTCCCCAACCTCCTCCTCCTCCTCCACCACCTCCCCGGCCACCCCTTCCACCTCCTCTACCACCACCTCCTCCACCACCCCAACCACCCCTTCCGCCGCCATCTTGTCTCTTTTGCCAAGGGGGCATTTCAGGCGGGGGAGGTTCAATTTCATTCGGCCTTCCTCCACGGTCAGGTACTCTTCCCATCAGCACCTGTTTAGAGGAATGTTTTCTTTCAGTTTGTAATAAAATACTTTACAGGTTGAATTTCCACAAGAGTCCAATGAAATTAAAGTTATTGCTCCTAATAAATAAATGGCAACCAAATACTTAAGAAAACAAAAGTATTGAACATGGTAGCATAAATCAGATTGAAAATCTAAGTATAATGGATGACAAAGTCTTCAAGATAAAACATTTTTAAACAACCCAGGGGAGGGGGGGTGTTCTAAAACTTAGGGACTTCTTAATTTTTTTCTCATTTCAATTTCTTTAGCAAATTCCTACCACAAATGTAGTCGTCAGAACACCCAGACATTTTTCACCACTACATTTTCAATTGACATGAAACATATACATTAATTTCAGATCCATTTATCTAACAACTCTGGACTTCCCACCGCCACTGGCTTTCCTGAGTTATCCAAAAAAGACTGTACTAAGTACAGTCTGTTCCAATAAAGCATGAAGTACTTATGATAATATGCAGACGTAATTAAGGCAAAAGGTAAATATAACCACTGTAACCCAAGGTATTGCGAGGGATGTTTAAGCAAGGATTCTCAATTACTCCTCAAACTTAAGCTCATTAACTTTCAAACAATGCTATTTGTTACGATATTATTATAAAGAAAATAAGGTGTTGATGTTATTTCCTTAATTATGCTTTTCATACTTTGAAGGGCAAGCCAAGGACGAGTTTAATTTAAAGATGTCAAAACTTATTTAGAAAGGCTGCTTTACATGCCTGGCAGCGGAGGGAATGACAGAGTCAGTGAGGAAGGTGCTACCCACCCACTACACCCTGCTGTCTCTTTTAGGAAAGAAGGCAACTCAGTATGTATTGCCTCAACCTAAATGGCCTATGAGTCATCAGGGGAGGGAGGGGGTGGTCTACCAACTGTCAATTTCTGTCCTAAATGAAAGACAAAAGTTCATCACTGGGAGGCATGTTTCCAAGTATGCAAACACCAGTGATGCCTGAATCAACAAATCCAAAAAATAACTAGCTTTCCACTTGGTTGCTATTCTCCCTGACCTGTTACACCCAACACAACCTGTTCATCACATTCACTGGTATCCGACTCAAAACGACCCTCTAGGGCAGAGTACAATGGCTCTGTGGCTTTCTGAAACTGTGACTCTTCATAGGAGTCAAGTCTCATCGCTCTCCGGCAGTGTAGCTTGTGGGTTTGAAATGCTAACCTTGTGATTACCAGCCCAACTATGTCACCAAGGCTCCTTTCCATGATATATTTTTGGTAGGTACACTTGGATATTGTGCCAAGAAGTGAGCATAAGATTATCTTCACAAATGCGCTTTACACAATTGATGTGTGTATGGATTGCGATAACAGTTGTATGAGCCCCTAATAAAATGTTTAAAAAAAAAAAATAACTACCACACTAAGCAATGGCGTTAAAAAAAAAAAAAAAAAAGATTATCTTCAAATAATCACACTATAAATTATAAACTCAGAAAAGAGAAGGGGCAGTGTCTCTTAAAACAGAAAACCATTTTGAGTCAGCTGAGCTAGACTATAACCTGATGTAAGGTATTAAATAATATATTTTTAAACAGCATTATCTTTCAAAAGATAGAGGGGATTGATCCAAAATCAAAGAACAGAAAAAGGTACATCACAGAGGTAAACCCTGTTGAGACCTAACTTAAAAATAATGATCAAATTCACTTTAAAATCTATGGATTTCCTGGCAAGGTTATCTCTCTTATCAGAAAGCATATCTCAAGCTAGCTATACAACGTGAAAAACAAGGTTTTAAAACACGGACTTTAACAAATTCCTTACTTCTGAAATTTGGTTCACTTATCTACCGTTATAATTAGGTTTGCCAGGAAGTATTTTGCTTACGTAAATGGAGAGAACCCACTATAATCAATTTGACCAAAGCCTCTGTGGTTGCTGCAATATATTGCAAATTAACACAATTCTTGACTTGTTTAACTTAAGACCACTCTCAAAGAAATGGATGTGAACTCTTAATGAGGAAACAAGTTCACACAAGTTCAGTAATTTGCCAAGGTCAAGCCTCCAAGTGAATGGGAGAGCTCGGATGCACACCTAGATTTATGCGACTTAAAAGCATGGATCCTCCCCCCTCACATCAGAAGTCTGCCAGTACCCACAGTTCCTACAAACACATTCATCTTCACCAAAATGAAAGACTACTCTCTCAGAAAGAAGGAAAATAATTCTTGCTACAGCTATTCATTAATTCTTCTAAAACCCTAGCTTGATGGATGAATACAGAAATTCAAACTAAACACAAAACATAAGTACACTTCAGTGAATTAAAAGTCTTTCCCACCCTTTTTGAGGAGCTCAAATGGACTTAGGAGGAAAATAAGACTAAAATAAAATCTATGAACACATCAAATGAGAATATTATAAACTCAGCCTCCTCGGAGCTCAAAGAAAACCCACCTTATTAATGGCACATGCTGTTTTCTCCCGGCTGGTGCCACTACTGGTCCTGATGATCTTAGATAGATCCTCACGAGCAGCGAGCAAATGTGCCAACGTAATAGTTGTCCTGGGTGACAAAGCATACCGCTTAGGCTGGTAAATTCTTGCTATGTCGTCTGTTTTAACCTAAGAGACAAAAGTTCGGGGGAAAGAAAGCAAAGGGAATTTCAGCTGAAGAGCAACTCTGATGGTAACTTTCAGAAAGTAGAAAGGGAGAGAATACACAAGAAGCGACATGGAAAAGAACAGAAAGACTGCACTCTCTGAGCACTTCTGTACGTTCAATAGATATACAGGCCAACAGATGCTGAAAAAATGAGACTTTCACAGCAGTGATTTACTAAAAAATATCGACAGTCTATTCTTAGCTACAAAATCAAGAATTCCTAAAAATAGCTTTACCAACAAAAGTTTTAAAACCTTTAGGGAAAAAAATTTTCAAAATGAAAACTGTGTAAGCATTGAGAAGTACCAAATTTCTGGATGGAAATAGTGTATATTACTGTCTCGATTTTCCCTAAAACTTCGCTTACACACATTATGCAATCCTGTGGGAATGGTTTTTGTATAGATAAAAAATGAGTAACTGATAATACAATAAACTTACAATTAAAAGTTGATGTAAAAACTAAATATGTAAGAATTATTATTTTTTATCTGATGAAAACAGAGCCCTACCATAGAGTAATACATAATAAAAACCAATCATCATCATCTTCACAGCAAACATTAGCTGAACACTTATTAGATAAGGCATGATTTATAGCCGCTGATGAATTGGTATTTCTTTATTCTTCAAAACATCATTTAAAATGGTTGTTTTTATTTTAAATGCTCCTGGGATTGTTAGCTATCTGTAAAAACAACAATACTAATAATAAGGCACCATGTAACAAAGGAAATGCCAAACAGAATAAAGAATTGTTTAAGGTTCCACATTTAAAAAATTAACTACCAAAGATGAGACCTTCTTTACAACAAACAGTAAAATTGCCATGAAATCAAAAGATAACTGATAATAATGCTCTCAAATAAATAAAACAACAGGCTAACTTCCTTAGTACATAAAAAAGTCAATCAAAAGAAAAACAGGAAGACTCCAAGTAGGGAAAAATGGTAAGGTATAAATAGAAATTTCCAAAAAGACAATCAATGACTAATAAGCTTATACTCAATGTTTTACTCTACCAGTAATAAAACTATACACATTTAAACAAGCGAGACTTGTTAAGCCATCAAGTTAGCAATGTAACAGGTAGTATTCTAAACATTCAAGAAGATAAAGTGACATTTTCTTTTCCTCTACCAACAGTAGTTTACATTTATGCAAACATTCTAGAAAACAATTTGGTCATGACAAACATCAGACGTTACAATTTTTGACATAACCACTTTCCTTTGGAGAATGCACCTTAAGGATATAACTTGATATTCATACAGAAATAATATAACTTGTCACTTGTCTTCTAGTCACAAAATGGCTGGTGGTGGCACGCAGATAGGAAGAGATTAACATGAGAAGATTGGTCAGTTTATGAGCCATTTCAGAAGCAGCGGAGAGACAATCCCAGAACCAGCAGAAAGAAGTCACGAGTGAAATACATCCAAGAGCCGTGTGTGGGGATTGGGCAGCATCAGCAGAGGCACCAGAGGCCACAGCACTGAGACTATGGGATGGCGCTGTAGGCTTCCCAGCCCACGGAAGGAATAAAGTTGAGTGCCTTCAGTCAGAAGGTGGGTGTGCAGAGTGGGGTGCCTCTGCACATTTATCAGCACTCAAAGGCAGATGCTGAGGACTAGAGAGACATGGCTGAGAAAATGGCACTGGACCCTGAATGTCCTCTGATCTTGTAACCTGCTAACTTCCCTAGTGAATGCCACAATCGTGAGTACGTGTGTGAGTTCTGTGTGGCCACTGAAATGAATTATGCAGCCCAGGTGACAGGCACAGGGCCATGGGAGGGACAGCAGGTGTCAGAATTGGCAGAGGAGGAAAGAAAGTGGAAGGACGCCTCACCCTGCCTCATAAGAGTCTGTGGGCTGGTGTGGAGTTACGAGGTCACATGTAGTCCCCAAGGCATTTCTTAAGGAGAAAATGTACGAAGCGACAGTGGAGTATACATGCTGCTGTTGTTGCTGCTAGGTGCGGTCAAGTCCGCTCCCACTCGTAGCGACCCCATGTGAAACAAGGAACACTGCCAAGTCCTGTGCCATGCTCACACTGCTCTTCTGCTTGGGCCGACGTGGGTGTAAACCCACCTTGCTGCGGCCTTCCTCTTTTCCACTACTCTACCAGCCAGTGTCCTTCTCAGACAGAGTAGTCTCCCCTGATGTGTCCAAAGGACGCAAGATGAAACGTCACCATCCTTGCCTCCAAGAAGCATTCTGGTTATACTTCAACCAAGACAGGTTTGTTTGTTCTTTTGGCACCGTCATTCCAATGCAACGATTTCCTTCGGGCTTCCTTATTCAACCTCTGCTAGTCTGTGTTGACTAAAGAAAAAAATCCATAGATACGCATATATGCATGTATAAGAAAGAGCTTTATAGAAAAGAGCAATTATATATTGAGATAACATCCCAGCCCAGTCCAGATCACATCCTTAAGTCCGCGTTTAGCCCACATGTCTCATACCAGTCCATAAATTCCTCTTCAGACTCACACAGCCAGGCAATAATGCTGAATGCAGGAAGATCACTGGCCAGTGGGTAGACAGTCTTGTGGATCCATGGTGGTAGAAGCATCTCTGTGCTGGCATGCGTCTCCACGTGGTTCCTCCAGCTCCAGGGCTCTGGCTCCATTAATGTAGCTCCATGTGTCTTGTCAACAGGAATGTTTTGAAAGAACAATGTGTGTCCCGCCTCCGGGGAGGAAAACAGAAGTTCCCAGAATCCTCAGAAGGCCATGCCCACACTGAGGCACCATTGGCTGACCTGACTGACAAGCTAGACTCCACCCTCTCACAAACTGACAGATTGTATAACTGCCACAGACCAACCCTTGTCAACCTGACACTCTTACACAGCTTTTAGCCACATAATTTTTAACAAAATCATATCTGTACCTAACAGGATAAAACAAAAAAGCATGCAATATGTGCCATCCTAAGTTAAACATAATATTCTATAAGTGAACAAAACAATATTCTATGCTTAACAACTGCAGTTAAGTGAACACCTACACCCTAATCTTATAATCGCATGAACATACTTCCCACACCTACGAAAGCTTGTAAGCCAACCACTTCATGCCTTTCTCCTCCCCATTTTGGGTATCCAATTTCTATGTTGCCCACTTCATCAAATCCAGGTCTCTGAGGAGACAAACATGTTCTGTGATGTGAAGAATTTTCATTCCAGTTGGAACTTTGTAGGTCTGCATCCATAAGCAAAGTCAAATCAGGACAGGCTGTCCACGAAGTCAGCAACAATATGCACCAGTTCACAGGCTCAAAAATCTTCTCGTCAATTCGATGTGGGCTGCCTCACTAGCCTCATCAGGGTGCCCACTGGCTGCCTTGCACTTAGACCATGGGCTCCATCACAAATTCTCAACAACCCTAGCCCCCTTGTGCAAGGTCATGCACTTCAGACCACTCAACTCACTCTCGTTTTCTCCTCTACACCCTGTGAACCAGGTCCCTGGGATTCAGTGGCCAGACTCAACCCCCATCTCTTTATTGCTGCCTTTCTCTCACTTCCACTCAACAGGCAGATCCAGGGGGTCACCTAACAAGCCTTTCAGCCTGCCCACAGGCTTCCTTTAACATTCTGTCCTAGAGCGGAGAGTTCCTTCCATGGCTCCAAATTTCTCCAGCCTCAATCACAAACCACTCGTGCAAAATGTAAAGAGCCAGAGTTCCTTTTCCCTTCATTATGTCAACAGCGATGCCTCACAGGGAGAGTCCGTGTCCCACCTGTAACTGCCACAACATCCAACTTCACATGCAGAAGAGGGATGAAAAAATAGCATGGCTAAGTCCGGAGCTTATTACTCCAACATCCTCGCTTTTCAACACCTTAATGCAGAAGATTTACATAGTGTTTGGTCTCCTGGCTGCTGCTTCCATGAACAATGATTGTGGTTTCAAGCAAGATGAAATCCTTGATCGCTTCAATCTTTTCCTCATTTATCATGCTACCCACTGGTGCAGCTGTGAGGACTTTTGTTTTCTTTAGAATGGGCAGTAATCCACACTGAAGGCTGCAATCCCTGGTCTTCATCTGCAAGCAAGGGTCCACTTCAGCAAGCTCACTTTCAGCAAAGTTGTGCCATATTTAGGGTGACCAGATTTTAACATTGGTAAAGCGGGACACCATTGATAAAAAACTCATATCCTGGCGAAACAGCCACATGGCAGCCGAAAACCGTATACCCTAGCTTGTCGTGCATTCTTTCCAAAAATCGGGGCTTTTTTAAAACGCCGCGGGACACAGGAAAAATTGTTCAAAAGCGGGACGTCTGGTCACCTTAGATATTGCAAGTTGTTAATAAGCCTTTCTCGAACCCTGATGCCATCATATAATCCAGCTTCTCTGAGTATGTACTCAGCACACAGACAGAATAAGGTGAGAGGGCACAACCCTGAGGCACACCTTTCCTGATTTTAAACCATGCAGTGTGCCTTTGAGCTATGTATACGTTCTACAGAATTGTTCTGCAGTGCCCATTCTCCAGGCTATCCATAGTTTGTTATTACCCACACAGTAGTTCCTTGGCACAGTCAATAAAACACAAGTAAACATCCTTCTGATATTCTCTTTCAGCCAAGATCCATCTGGCATCAGTAAAGATGTCAAGTCCTCTTCTGAATCCAGCCTGAACCTTTCGCAGGTCCAAGTCAATGTATTGCTACAACCATTGTTGGATGATCTTCAGCAAAACTTTACTTGCATGTGAAATTAATGATATTGTTCTTGGTAGTTTTCAGAATGCAAGTTCTCAGAAAAAATAATCATCTGTTCTGCACCCTTTGTTAGGAAGTTACCCGAGGATTTACTATAACAGAAAGTAGGGACAAGCAATAAAGGAAGAGGTCACGGGTTTCAGGAAAGAATAGAGCGGCAAAGAACAGCTCCACAAACAGCACGGATTTCAATAGGGGCTTCTGCAAGGAAGTACACACAGAAAATGAAGAACTCGTTAGAATATGATTTTTAAAGGATATTTAAAATGAAAAAAAGAGCACGCTTCTGATGGAGAAATATAATGCCAGAATAAATGAAATTCACTTAGAAAGATGAGGCACACTGTAAATTGTTTGATGGCCACATCCTACTCCCCAGCACCTGTGACGACACTGCCTCACATGACTGAAGAGACTTTACAGATGAAATCAGGTTAAGAATCTTAAGAGGTGGCAATTATTGTGCATTATGTGGGCGGGCCCAACAAAAACACAGAGTTCCTTGTAAGCGATCGGAGAAGACATAAGAATAGAAGCAGAGGCCAAATAAGAGAAAACATGGCACGTGCTACACCACTGACTGTGAACCATGGAATGCAGATGTCTCTAAACGCTAGAAAAGGCCTCTCATTAGAATATTCACACCGACCCAGACCTGCCAACATCTTCATGTTAGGACTTTTGACTTCTAGAACTACAGAATAAATCTATTTATTTAAACTATTTAGTCTTTGGTAACGGGTTACAAGAGTGACAGGAAACACATGTTAAGACAACATGTGGAGTCAGAGACCACATGAGAGCCCAGACAGAAACCATGCATCCTAGCAGTCAGTCAGCTCCAAGAACCGAGGAGACCACAGGGACATCACCCCAGCCATGTTCCAGCCTAGCAACCAGGTGAATGAGTGACCCCAGCTGACCTAACAGGGCATGAGAACTGCCCAGTCAACCAATCATCATCATCGTCATAATGCCCGGCCTTCTACTTGCACCCTAGAAACAACTAAACAATGGACACAGTAGGTGAACAACAGACTGAGAGAATGGACTTCAGGGATTACAGGATAATGACCAATGCGAAATGGAAGCAAATGGGGTGAACTCAGTTACTGTCCCAGTTTACTACCTAGGGTTTCCAACCTGTCCTGCAGGGAGGGGGGGATCCAGAATGTGACAGTTAGGTTTTATGTCAACTTGAGTGGGCCAGGATTTGCTCATGAGATATTCTAACACAGCGTGGTCAGAATAGGGTAAAAAACTAAAATAAAAAAGAACAGGGTAGAGTACTAACTACCTCCTTAATCTGGTCACAACTTTGATACATTTGAGGGAGGTTTCATTCAAGGAGTGGCCTACTCTCAAAACAGAGTGACACTATGAGGAAGCTAGTTCATTTCTACTGCTAGACATGAATCCTACATCTGGTTTGTGGCCCCGTTGTATCGTTTGCCAATCCCAGGACCATCAGCGGACTGGGAGCTGAATTCATTCAGCTCTACATCCACAAGCCTGTGATCTTCCCACTTTACCTCCTGCTTTCTGTCCATCACCCCCTACAGCTACACAAGCCAGAAGCCCCTAACTTACATGTGACCCAGAACTTGAACCGATATGAACAGTAGTTCTACAACTACTTTCTTTTCTTTTTTCTGTTTTTTTGGTATGTGAGCCATTTCTGGATACGAATCTCTTTCTATATAGATCAATATACAAGTGCCACTGCTTTTGCTTCTCGAGAGAACTCAGGCTGAACACAGGCCACTGGCATACAATGAGTCATAGGAAGCAGCTCTCTAGAAAGCTATCTGAAAAGTTCGTATTTGAAAATGCTCTTACCCCTTTCTTCAAATGGAATATGCGCCATACTTATCCAGCTTTAAGGCACTTTTAGGAGACCTATTCAAGTAGCAATATTACCTGCACCTATACTCCTGTAGGATTGGTAGTGTAGGTACAGGTAGCAATACTATCTGTACTATAATCTTCTGTTCTACTATGTTGATCTTACTCTAGCTCAGTGTCTCACATGCTGTACATCCTTACCTAAACCACAAAAGCGGTGAGTTTAAAATACATGGGAAAGATCTGGAGAGAAACTAAGACTGAAGTACTTGCAAGCAAGGATCCATATAAGACCAGGACCATTCTACAAGATGGGCAGCTGGCCGGGGACAGAGGGGTTCAATGGCAATGTGCCGAGAGCCTGAAGAGTTGTCACAGGCTACCACCTACAGGACACAAGTGGAAAAACATCTTACCTTTGCTCTATCCGACCACCCAAAGGACTGCACTGTCACATCTAAACGCTTCACTAGCATGCGCCTACGGCATTCATATTCACAACAGAGAGCATCATTGATTTTTTCTAGCTGTTCCTAAAGAATTTGGAAACAAAAATTGTAAGTTTTAACTTTCACTATGCACAAAAAGTACATTTGAACATTGTGGAAAAGGCTTTCTACTGATTTAAGAGGCTTTACCCCATGAATATTTTCTGATTCCCTGAGACTTTACGATAAATTTAAATAATAAAGAATATTTGATATAACATTCAGAATATCCAAAATACATTAAATATAATCATTAAATTCGAGCTTATCTTATTTTCAAATAAATATGTAAATTTAGGTAAAACATCTACTTGTGAAGTCAGCCAATCAAAGAAGTCTCAGTAACTTTTCTTGCTGGCTTTGAGTTACTACTTTTCAAATCACCTTAACTGTGATAAGTTACTGGCTACTCTAAGTATTCTTGGCCAGGTATTTTTAATATTAATAGTTTGAAGAAAAGTTGGTCTATTACTCTCAAGTGTATCAATCCATTTTAACTCCAAAATTATATATGCACACACGTATTGTAATATGTAGATGTCCATTTATGTGATACTCACTAATTCACTTACACGAAACTAACGAAAAATAGACTTACCGCCTTTTCCTGATTTAAATCAATTTTCAACAGTGGTTTCCCCACGTGATTGTTCTGGACTTTTGCAAGAATATCCTTCACCTGAAAGTACATATAAAAGAAAGCACCTTTTATGAAACTGCATACCATTTAAGACAAGTTGAGGGGCAACAAAAACGAGGAAGACTGTCAACGAGATTGACTGACAGTGGTCGCAGCAATGGGCTCGGCAAGCAACGACGGGATGAATGGCACAGGACCAGGCAGCATCCTGCTCATTGTACAAAGGGATGCTCTGAGTCAGAACCAACTTGACGGCACTGGACAACTAACTATGACTGCAACAACAATTTGACCCTCTCTTATTCGTGCTTAAAGTATTGCTTTGAAAGCTAGAGAATAAATAAAATTTCTAAGTAAATTAAAATACACTTTTACACACTAAAAATCACTAAAATACATAATATACATTTTTCAAGGAAACACTAATTATATTCATTCGAATTGTAGAACACCATCTTTTCAAGAAGGAATGAAGTACATGGACAACTACCAAACTCCAAGTCAAACCCACTGCTGTCACCTTGATTCTGACACACAGGGACCATACAGGGCAGACGAGAACGGCCCACAGGGGTGCGCTAGATGGTGCAGTGGAACAGCACTTAGTTGTTCACTAAAAGTCAGAAGTGACAAACCATCTGCCACAGTTGTTGCAGAAAAACAGCAGTGTTGGAGTGAAATGAAAAATAAATGTAAACCTAAGCAAGGTGTTTGCGGGAGGGAAGGGCAGGAAGGGTGACAGAAATCAATGAAAATTAGATGTCCGTGATTACACACTCTGCAAATATACTAAAATTCATCGAATTATACACTTGTTATATGTGAACATTATCACAGTACACAACAGCTCCACTTTCAAAGTCAAAAACTATCTGTGGCAAAATTACGTTTCATAACAATGATAAAATTAGATATAATTCTTATCAATTGTAAGTTTAGTTTCTTAAAATATGCCGTTTCTATAGATTCACCAAGAACTAGAAAAAAATCCCAATTTTGATCATGTCGTTTTATTACTAAAGTTTTCATTATAACTCCTCAGTCACTTAATCAGTCAGATTCTAAATGCATACTTGTAATTTCTTACATGTTCAGCTAAACTCCTAGCATTTCAACATTATATAATAGTTGTTTTTAAACAGTTATCCACGCATCCCACAATTCAATAGTTCTATCTAATCAAGAAGAATTGCACAATCATTACCACAACCGATCTTAGAATATCTTTTTTCCCCTATGACTAAATTGCCTTTAAAATGAGTAGGAAAAAAATGTGAATTTTTAAACTTCTGATGGGAACTAAGTGGAGTAAAAAATCCTTTGAAGTACAAATTTACAATAAAGGGAAGGGTATTTAACAACCACCTTATAATGAATCTGCCAGCATTTGAAAACAGACACTGTATCCCGCTTCAAGAAAGAAAAAAAAGGAGTCCAGGGCTGCTAATCCTAATCGAAAACCACTAAGTGAAAAAGTGTTTGAGAGATAAATACACGGAAGTACTGGAAGATTAGGGATAGTCCAGAACTCTGTTTAAATTTCAAATCATCCCAGAAATTATAACCAACCTCTGAGAGAAAAAGTCTGAACAAGCTTTACAGCTAGGATTCAGCCTTATTTGCTGGTTTGCAAATTACACAATTTTTTTCTTTAATATTATTCTCATCTTAATGATACTAAAATTCTCTTGTAATCGTTAAAACAAATCTTAAATTAATAACACTGAAAAGATATCTCTATTGAACAGGACTTTAGATTAAGGTCATGTGACTAAAAATGGAGTTTTAATATCTATCTGTTCATAAGTATTACTAACTTTTATTTTAAAAGGAAAGCTAAAAAATAAAATTAACAATTTTTTAAATAAAAGGAATGCTTTATTATTCCCTAAGATGACATGCTATCGAACAGACGAAATCTAAAAACCAGGTCACAACTTGAGTGGAATTCTAAAACATGGCTGAATTGTGAGCAAGACTTGTAATAATTGGGGGGGAATCAAAGAGGCACATAATTTGTTGTTATTTTTAGCCATTCCAGGAGGTACTCATTCACCGACCATAAAATGTGCTTGTTCACTTGTGGGGAGGAGAGAGCACATGCGGACACATTCTCTATGTTCATACGTTAAGGGGGTCTGTGAGGCCGAGACTGTCGTGGAGGGAAGCCTTCATGTTCGAGGGTTGGAGATTCGTCCCAGTCACATTCTCCTAAGTAAAAGTTATTCCCCATGATGTCCCCCATAATAATGCCACTTTTAAGGTGCTACTTCCAAGCACATGGTTCTTCTATACATGCCTGAACGTCAGCTGCTTAAAGCCTATCTGCCTAAAGGTGGTCTGCCACCCAAAGCAGTCATATCACCTAACCCTAAGTACAGCCCAATCCCGTCTGATAGGGATCATGGAGTGTTCTCCTGGAGAAGAGCTCAGGGACACCTACGGTCAAGTCAGCTAGGAGACACCAAGTTTAAGCCACCATCCTCACTCTAGAACCTGTCATCTTGGTGCATATATACCTTCCTGTCATATATATGCCTCTAGTACCTCCCCTTCCTATTGCATGTATACCCCTAGCTCGTCCCCTTCATGTTACATGTATGCCTCTAATGCAACCCCTTCCTGTTTCATATATGTGCTTACCATGGCTTGTATGCGAGATTATAAGCTAGTGAGAGAATACATTACCGCCTCATTCTGGTCCCGTCGCCAGGGAAGAGGTGAGCCTTTGTCTCATGGCTCTTTAATTTGCCCCTCAATTACACCACTGCCCCTTAGGACCCGTCCCGATGTGGGGCCGGGCCTCACAGTTAACTGCCCAAGATTACACTGCAAATCTAGTAATAACCACCACACTAGAAAAAGCTTAGTTTGCCTTTTGCTAATTTATAGACTAATTCGACTTTTCACACTACTGTATCGCAACTTTGTTTAGGAAAGTGAATCATTTGCAAAATGATTTCTAACCTGGCAAACTCCAGGAAAAGGTAAGGGCACCTGATTGTTAAGATCCGATTCTTGGATTTTAGGTAAAAGCAAATCAGGTCACATGCACATGACATCAAAACCCCAAATTAGTTTAAGATAGAGCTTCTATTGACATGGAATGTATACCTTATGCATAAAGGAAATAACCTCATTTTTAATATAGTATTTAAATGTTAGCATTCAAGTGAATTCCTGTGAAAATGAAAAATATACCAAATGTACTACCTTTGCTTCCACTTGGCTTAGCATGAGTGGAACGTCAGAAGTTGTTGACTTGGGTACAGCAAGGGTATCACAGATTGCTTGAACTTCTTGGTAAATTTCACTTTTTTTATCTAGTTGAGAACTTTTAAGTTTCTTGTTCTGTAATATCTGTAAAGCTTGAAGCTCTGTACTTAAAAATACTGTAATAAAACATTTTTAAAAGAGTGTTAATCATTGTACAGGAATTTCTTAAAATATCTTACTAAAAGTATGTACTTAAAACAGATGTCAACGAGACCAATAGCCATTAGCAACTTACAGAGAGCCCAGGAGCAATACTGATAGTTGTAGAGTGCTGGAAACGTGAAATATGAAAAGAAGCCAAAGCAGTATGCAGTAGATGCTCCAGTCAATGTTGATAAACCAAAACACATGAGTGGATTCCAACTCCTCGGGCAGAGCAGACTCATCCCTGCGGATTTCCAAGGCTGTAAATCTTTCAGGGAGCAGAAACACTCATCTTTCTCCCACGGTGTGGCTGGTGGTTTCAAACTGCTGACCTATGGTTAGCAGCCCCACTCACAATGAATGCACTAAGCCACCAGGGCTCCTCAGTCAATACTTATCCTGGTTGGTTGTCATTCCTATTGGAATAGCTAGAGCAACCCCCACTGGAGCAGAGAAGACAAAGAGCCAAGCCCAGTCCCAAGAGCTACACGGCATCTATTTTACCAATGATGGAGGTTTGGCCTAAGACTGAAACATATGAATGGACACCAAAAGGCTCCTAGAAATTTTTTTTAAAAATCCAAGATTTGACTTACTTATTTTAGTCTCAATTTTAATCTCCCTGATTTCACATAAGCTAGCCTGTTTTAATCAATATATTAAATGATCTATATTACTATTTCAATAAGCATACATTTACCAAAGGCCTATTCTAAGCCAAAAGGGCCCAAGTATCACAATGATTTCAAGCATTGGACTACTACATTAGCAGTTGCTCCATGCGAGGAAGAGGAGGCTGTCTGCTCCCATAAGAGCTGCAGTCTTGGAAACCCACAGGGGCAGTTCTACTGCCCTATACGGTTGGTATGAGCAAGAATCAACTCGATGGCAGTGAGTAGTTTTAATTATTCTGAGTCAGGCACTATGTGGACACTGAGGACAAGATACAACACAGGACCTATACACAGCCCAACAGAAGGAACCTACAAGTCAATCGAGATGAAACTGTAAAGGATTATGCAAGTCTGTGATCAAACATTCTCACATATGCAGAGTGCTCAATTAAAGAGAGACCATCTAGTCAGACCTGCACTTCCCACAACACAACGTTGTTGCTATCATTAGCTGCCATGAAATTAGAAAATACAAATATATGAAGAAGGGTATGAGAGAAGAAATGGCTTCTGTTGTAAGATTGTGGTCTTTCTTAGGTGTGCTTGCACAGAAAAACTCCAAACACTCCCCACCAGTCAACACAAATCATAGCAAACTTATTTATGGTTTCTGAGACTAAATCCTTACAGGGGCAGAAGGCTATTTTTTTCCCCGCAGAGTTGCAGATGCATTTAAACCTTGCAGTTAGCAGCCTAATGCCTAGCCTATAGTGCTACCAAACCCATTGCCATTGAGTAGATCCCAACCCACAGCAAGCCTACAGAACAGAAAAGAACTGCCCCTTTGGGTTTCTAGGACTATAAAACTTTATAGAAACAGATTGCCTTGTCTTTCTCCTTAGGAACAGCTGGCGAGCTCGAACTGCTGACCTTGTGGCAGCAGCCCAATGCATTACTCACTATGCCACCAGAGCTTGTATATGAGAAAAGGAAATATGCCAAAAGATCATTCATGGTTTTCTCTAGGCAATCAGATTATGAGTGATTTTCTTCTCTATATTTTATCTGCTTCTAAGATTTCTGTAACCATAATTTTACAATCAGAAAAAAATTTTTATTAAACCTCCTTCCTCTATATTTTGACTTATCCCAGAGATATGTAATATCATTAGTACTTCCAACTAAGGCAAAAAGTAAAAAATAGTATGTTACATAGTTCTAACCAGCTCATAAAAAGAGCATACTAATTCCGCTAGCCCTGAGCTTCTAGCTTCCTAATTGTTTCAATATATTTAAACATTGCTAAAAGTAGAAAAAAAGCCAAATAGATCTTTCTATGAAAAGTAAAATCTAACAGAAATCTTCAATAGACATTAGAAAAATGCTTTCAAATTGCCATTTAAAAAAGAATAGCTTTAATTTCATATAAAAGTAAACTAATTTCAAGTAAAAATTTTGAAGGGACTCAATACACAGAAATGGATCTATTATTTATGGTAATTTCATGAGTATAGGGTTGTGGTATCTATATAACCTGTTGCCAATTTGAGAGGATTAAGAGCAAAGGGGTGGAGTTTAGTCTGTCAACAGGTGGCAGCTTGATGACCTCATTTGGAAGCGCTAAGGAGATAAATAGCTCCCTGGAGGGAGGACTCAGGCTCACTCCCTGGGAGACATCACAGCTGAAGAGACACAGAACTACACTAGTGTCCTGAGCTGAAGGAGCCACGTGGACACCCCTGGCAGTGCTGAGATGCTTACAATGCCACTGGATCCACAAGACTTCCCACCCACTGGCCTGTGATCTTCAGGCATTCAGTGTCATTGCATGTGTTGTGTGAGTCTGAAGAGGACTTTACAGATTCGCATCAGACATATGGGCTAATATCGGACTTATGGACTTGATATGCACTGGGCTGGGATATTTTCTCAGTACTCAACTGATCTTATACATCAAGCTCTTTCTTGTACTGCTAAGCAGCCTAGTTTTGATTTTAAAATAAAACAGGGCTAAAAAAATTAAACTGAATGCAGAAATCATCATTTTTAGCAATCTAGTGATCAATGTCAAGAAATCAATTAAATAAAAAAATGATTACGGTACTATGTAATAATCACAATAAGAGAACATTCGATGATGGCCAAATATATTAACAAGCATTAGAAATTTTAAGGGATATAATATGGAATTCACATTACATTTATTTAAATATCCCTGAGATAGTTTCACTTTTTAAATCAAATATTAAAACATTTTAAAATACAAAAGTGTCTTATTAATAAAATATCATAAATCTTGACTGAAAACATAAACCAGATTAAGTCTATACTTTTAAGTGCTCAAAGAAAGATAACTTACACAGAAGTTTCAAACAGTCATCCTTCTTTTTTAAACGGTCATTAACATCCCCTGATATGAGTGCAGAATATGGACATGCCATTTCTTTTAAAAAACCACTTATCTCAAGCTGGAAGCTTTCAAGATCATCTCTCCCTTAAAAAGAAAGAAAGAAATGAAAAACCATGCACTGAATATATACCACGCTATCCCCTAGTATAAGATCTACCACTAGTTAACATCAATTTTACATACAACTCTAATTAAAATTAAAGTATTATTTTTCTTTTCAGTTCTACATTGACCCCAAAGCCTAGGTAAAGGTAAATGAACAGCTTCTACCTATAGAAAGTGGAACTTCAACTTACGACCACAACTTTCCATTTAAGAGTGTAAGATTTCAATTTTAAGAATGTAAGTTTGAAAAATACTTTGTATTTAAATTCCTGATGTGTGCCGTTTGGTAGACTTTCCACAAATACGCAACTGCAATATTAAAAGTATTATTCTGGCTACAATTACCGACTTCAGAGCAAAGACTCCATTTCTATTGTTTCTTGGCATTCAAATAATAAATTTAAATTCTATGCCACATTGTCTTTGTTTCATAATAAATTACATAGCAGCTTATGTCTTATGTTCTGAATTCTGTTTACTGACTTGATGGCAGTAGGCAGTGGGTTTATTTTACTTTGCAGCAATTGAATTCTGTTGGATTTGACAAGGAAAAGATTCTTAAACATAAGGATAACTTCAGAAGGAAGGATTACTGTGACCTATAGCCCAATGCCCACTGGCAATTTTTACTTTATTGTAGTAGCTGACAATACACCAGCCAAAGGCACTCCAAAGACTCCAGTTCCCAAGCTAGTAATGACTCACACAAGCTTTCCTGAGCTCGTGCAGGATGTTTCAAGTGTCTCTAAGGGAGCCCATGCACCCAGAGTTGCAGGCTTTGGACTACAGCTTAAATTAGGGAAATACTCTTTTTTTTTAATTAATTCATTCTAAAGAAGCAATGTTCAAAAATTAAATTATTAAGTAACAAATTCAGACACATTCCAACAGAACACTAAGGTTAAGATAACTGATAAACATTAACTTATAATTACACGGCAAATTAATAAACCAACTATAGACTTACTAATATAAAATTTAATCCAAAGACTTTTAATGTCACACACTGAAGTTCTTTATAATATGAATAATCTATCTTGACATTGCTATTTAGCTATGAATCATAAGCTATCATTTCATTTCACAATCAAACAAAAAAGTAAATAAAATCAGTGACAATACCAGCTGAAGTGATACTTTCTTCCAAGTTGCATAATGATTTTATCTCCGTGCCTAGCCAAATACAAAGCTCTGAAAACTCAGGTGAAGACAGTCCACTCTCTGCTGCTTTGCCAAGGGCTTGCTCTTCTAACAGTGGTCCCTTATACCTACAACAGAAGGAGGGCACGGGAGGGGGGGTGTTAACAAAACACCTTAGAAATCAGTATTTGCAGATACCACTCAACCATTTTTATAGCTGTACTATTAAGTCAAAGAATAAGTAGGCAGGAAATTTTGTTAGCCATTGTTAAACTACAGGCCAGCAGTTTCAAACCACTAACCATCCACAGGAGTCAGATGAAGTTTTCTACTCCTGTAAAGATTTAGTCTCAGAAACCCACAGACATAGTTCTACTTCATCCAACAGGGTTGATGTGAGAATCAACTTGGTGGCAATGAGTTCAGTTTTGCTTTAGAAGGTCAGGTACGACCCACATATGAGAATATGTATTTCCTCACCACTCACCAATCATCGAACTTTTTATGTATATCTTTTCATACGTTCTCTGAATACTCTTTTTTTTTTTAAACATTTTATTAGGGGCTCATACAACTGTTATCGCAATCCATACACACATCAATTGTATAAAGCGCATTTGTACATCATTCTCAAAACATTTTCTCTCCACTTAAACCCCCGACATTAGGTCCTCATTTTTCCCCTCCCTCCCTGCTCCCCCCTCCCTCATGAGCCCTTGATAGTTTATAAATTGGTATTTTGTTAAAGAGCAGTTATTTTCAAATGTTCATTTTGCAGGTAAACAAATTAAGACTTATTGAAGGATAAATCTTAATTAGAATACTGACCTTAAGTAGCAGGCCAGGCTACTTAAGTACTAGGCATATGTATCTTTACAACCCATTTAATCCACATAGCACTCCTGGAAGCTGGTCTGAACTCAATACTGTCGGCTGAGGCTATGTAACAAAGTGAAGGCACCAAGATTCAAATTCAAATTTGACTCCAACTGCTCTCCATGAATTCTCAAAAGTCTGCCCACAACCATAAGGAAAGTAAACAGCGTGGTCCAGGAGATGAACCAAGAAACGGCAGAGGTAGAATAGATCAGCTCCCCCCATGCTTTTCCTATCTCCATGCCTTAAAAGGCTGCTCACTGAGCTTCAATAATAAACTTCTTACTGCCCTCTAATTGCTTTCCTTTCTACAATAAACCAAGCCCTACATTTAACTGAGACAGACTTGGGGATGATAAGCTCCCCCAGTATCGAACGAACACCCTGCTTTCTTGAGGCTCAGGCCAGTGGAGGGTTACTCTGCCGTGCCTTTTCCTCAGTTCTCTGCTGCTCCGGCCATTGTACCGAGTTTCTTCTGAGTGCGTCTGCATCATTGTTTTTAACGGAGTGACGGTGGAGTCTGAATCACAGCAACCGTGACGCATAGTAATCCCACAGAGCAGAGTAAAACTGGCCCACAGGCTTTCATAGCTGTAATCTTTACGGATTGCCGGGTCCAGTGGGTAGGAACGACCAACCTCTCATTAGCAGCCGAACGAGTCAGCACTGCACCACCAGGGCTCCCTGTCCATATGTACAGCCGGACGGACACTCGGAGCCCTGGCAGCGGAGTGGTTACGTGTTGGGCAGCGTATCTACAAGGTCGTCAGTTCAAAACTGTGGGAAACTGAGAACCTGGAAGGTGCAAATGGTCTATGTGCTATTCTCTCATCACGCTAGAGCTGGGGAAACCACATCAGCCCTAGTGTGAGGAGGAAGAGCCCCTCGAGATGACACACATTGCTCCAGAAAATAAGTCCTTCACAAATACTGTCTATAAAGTGTGAAGGTGCCTCCTGCGGAAGCCTGGTTTTTCATTCACACCGTCTGTTTCCCACTTTGTTAAGAATCTTTTTACTGGGAGCTCTTATAACAATTTATAATTAAATTAGAGCAAGCATAATTATTCAATCGCTGCCACCATCAGCTTCAAAACACTTTCTTTCTTCTTGAACTCTTTGATATCAGCTCCCCTTTATCCCCTCTCCCCCTCCCCACCCTACCTCTAAACCCTTATTATTATTATGTATTTATTGTCATATCTTACATCATCCAACGTATCCGTTCACCTAAAATCCAGTTACTCATCCCCCTCGAGTGGAGTTACGCAGTTAATTATCTTACAGGTGTGGTCTCTGGGTCTCCACTGTGTCCATGCTCCTTCATGTCAATTTGATTGCTTGTTTTTGAGCTTCTGATACCTATTCCCGTCGAAGCCTCATGATCACACAGGCTGGTGTGCTTCTTCCACATGGGCTTTGTTGCTTTCCAGCTAAGTGGCCGCTTGTTTATCTTTAAGACCCCAGACTATATCTTTTAATAGCTGGGCACCATCAGCTTTCTTCACCACATTTGCTTATGCACCCATTTTGTCTTCAGCAATCATGTAGGGAAAGTGAGTATCATAGAGTGCCACATTATTAGAACAAGCTGTTCTTGTACTGAGGTAAGATTTAAGTAGAGGCCCAAAGTCCATCTGCTTCCTAGTTGTGTGTGTGTATACCTATCTTTATATATTTACATATACACATATCTATATTTATACATTTATATATACATATTTATATCTATTTTTTTACTTTCTTCTTTCCTCTTTTCTTTCCTTCTGCCCCACTTTCATACTTACCCATCATTCACCTCTCAGTAATTCCACTTGACACGTTTCAATTGATCATACACGACCAGGAATGATAGCCCCTCCTCACCGTCATTTTTAGAACCCTTGCTATTCTTCTGTCCCTGTCATTAAGGGCTCACTGCTCCCCTCTCCCTCCCTCCTCCCCTCCTTTGCCCACCCTCTCCCCACCCCACAAACTTCGGTACATAGCTGTCTTCTTGGAGTTCCTATCCTGCCTGTCTTAAAGGAAAAAAAGAAAAGGCCATACAAATAGCTCCAAGTCTGTTATCCTAACCCAGAGTAGATGAGTATCTCCCTGTTAAATAGTGAGCAGGCCCTGTTATAATCTATCAATCCAATCCCCCTTTCTTTCAGGGTTCCATATCCCGGGGCCTGCTTGCCTAAATGCTTATACCCTTTTAGTCCTCAGCATTCATGACCAAGAGGCATGCCTCATACAAGTCCCCATTGTTCTTGCAGGCAGGGAGGGAGCCTGTCTAGGGCCCACCTCCCCACTCCCTACCTGTTACACCTTTACTCTCCATGTTTACCATTCTTAAGGCGCATTTAACACCATTGTTTATTGCCACAGCCAGACACTTCCTTTGAAGTGTTCCCCTTGAAGGCTCAGAATATTCAGGTTTAGCACATGGCCCATTTATTGTATGTACTAACAAGAGGCTTGTACACCACATTATGAGGAAACCTTATTGTTGTTGAATAAACCCTGTGCTCTACTGTCTATTATCTTTTTCTTCCTTAATTGCACATGCCACGCCTAAGGACCCATTCCACTATGGGCTGGATCCCACACAAAACCACCAGCGGTTCTACCATGACCTATAGGGTCATGACGAGTTGCATGGGCTCAGTGACAGGGAGTTCCGTGTGTCGGTGTTCATTTCCCTAATTCTTCTTTTCCAACTTCTCTCACTATGCCTCAGTCAACCGTGCTCTGCAACTGGCACTACTCATCCTCCGATATTACCAATTCAAATACATCACTCTCAACCTCTCTTCCACCTGACTTTTTGAGCACTCACCTTTGAACTCATCGGTATTTCTAGTCTATTGTTTCCTCTGCACTCCATAGATTTATTCAATCTATGCTATCTTCAATTTCCTCCATAGCCAATACCTGTTCCTAACTCAATCCCTTCCATCAAGCGTATTCTGACTTACAGTAACCCAATAGACCAGGGTCCTCAAACTACAGCCTTTGTCTACTTCAACTTTGTCAACTTCAACCCTAATTTCCAATGTTTCAAAGTCTTTTAAGAATTATTTGCCATTCAATGTAGCAGCGAGGAATTACTAAATCCGAATGAAGGCCGAACATGATGGTGAGACAAATGGAAAGTAAAAGGAAATAAAGGAAAAAACCAGGAGGCAAAGGACATTTATGGAGGCCTAAATACAGATGTGTACATATGTAAAATCATATACAACGAGAGGGGAATAGAACTATGTACTCATAGCTATATGTTAAGAATTAAGGTTGCAGATGGACACTGGGCCTCGACTCAAGTACTCCCTTAACACAATAACACTGTTTTAACAATCTGGTATTCTGTGATGCTCACCTTCCCGACACTATCAGGGAAGACAAAATGGGTGCAAAAGCAAATGTGGTAAAGAAAGCTGATGGTGCCCGGCTATCAAAAGATATAGCATCTGGGATCTTAAAGGCTTGAAGATAAACACGTGGCCATCTAGTTCAGAAGCAACAAAACCAACATGGAAGAAGCACACCAGCCTGTATGATCATGAGGTGTCAATGGGATCAGGTATCAGGCATCTAAGACCCAGAACAAAATCAAACCCAAGGTGAATGGGTGGGGATGGGGCATGGAGTGGAAACCTAATGCCCATCTGTAGACAACTGAGGACATGCCCTCACAGAGGGGTCACAGGGAAGAGATGAGCCAGTCAGGGAGCAGTATAGCACCGATGATACACACAACTTTCCTCTAGTTCTTTGGTGCTTCCTTCGCCCCATTATCATGACCTCAATTCTACCTTACAAATCGGATTAGACCAGAGCATGCTCACTGCTATAGGTAAGAGCCCCGCAACACAGGGAATCCAGGATAGATAAACCCCTCAGGGCCAACAAGAAGAATAGAGATACCTGGAGGATTAGGGGATGGTAGGGGGAGAAAGGGGGAATCGATCACAAGGATCAATCTAGAGTAACGGAAAGTGGGTGAGGGGAGATGGAGGACGATGTAAGATATGGAAATAGTAATCTATAACTTATCAAGAGTTCGTGAAAGAGGGCGGATGGGGGAAGAAATGGGGAGCTGACATCAGGGGCTCAAGTGGGAAGAGAATGCTTTGAAATGATGATGGTGGCATATGTGCAAATGTGCTTGACACGCTGGATGAATGTATGAATTATGATAAGACATGTAAGAGCCCTCAATAAAAGTGTTTTTTTTTTTAAAGAATTATTTGCCCTTATTTTGCCATTAAGTAACCAACACTTCTTTCCTAGACTACTACTAACTCATTCTCCAGTGCCTTCTCATCCTTATTTACAGATGCCTCCGGCTCTGCTGCCTCTGCCACTTCTGACAGAGACCTCAAAAGTGCCCCACTTCCTATGGTCCTAGGATTTGTCTCTTCCTGCCCAAACAGCATACTCTTCTAGCCAGGGGAGTGGCAACCAAAACGGACCAATCCCCTGTTTGTGTTAGCAGTTTGGTGGGAGTTAGAGAGACATGGAGAGAAGAGCCACTCTGAGAAATTTCACTCCACCACAGGTTCGTTTGTGGGTATGAACTGCCTACACATCAGTTAGCAACAGAAGCTTAAGCGCTGTACCACCAAACCTTCTTGTCCAACAAATAAGGACGCTCAAAAATATTCACAATCAACTTCCTTTCATAAGTATTTCTCAACGTAAGCTGTGAAGTTTTTAAGCACTGTGCTTAGGTATATTCCACTCCTAGATATTAGGATTCAGTCTGTCTGGTATTTCCTAGACTCTAACATTTCCACCAGTACTCTACTTGATTCCGATGCACAACCAAGGATAAAAGACTGTCAGAAAAAAGAGAAACTTCTGAAAGAGTCTGCCATGGCCTACTTATTTCACAGATGAGAAAACTGAGGTTATTCTGATGCTGCTTTTTATTTATACTATACCCCTACCTTGTTCTTTCCTGTATATTTCTTCTTTTTAAAAAAAAATTTATATATCTTCTCCTAATTCCTCACTTTGGTTTCCTATTTTTTCTTCACAAACTAAGACACCTTCGCTGATATCCTAAATGCTTTAATCACAACAAAATATGTATTACTTATCAACTGTATAGGTGCTTACAAACTGCATTCAATATGCTTGTATTGTAAATAACAGCTACGCTTTTTTTCACTACTATTTCCTTATCATTACAAGAGAATTCAAACTTCAAAATCTTGTCTAAATTGTCAAAATCGTTTTTTTTTTTTACTTTCCATACTCAATATCCTGAATCTAATTATCGTTACAGGTCAAAATCAACAAACGATCTTTTTCAAAATGCCTATACAATGAGTAATGAGGTCAAGGAATAAAGGAAGGCAAAGCCTCTCTCATTCCTTCTTCCATAAAGTATTACAGACTCCTATCACTCATATCTGGAGGGCAGGAGCACCCCAGCACTCAACCGCATCCAGTGCTCAACTTCATCTGATTTCCACATGAAATGTCGAGAAAATTTTGCATCAGACCTCGAGCAAAACGTCAGAATCTGACCCAACATGCGTGATTTTTATAACAAAAGCAGTTTGTGTTTCAGTCACTCAGCATTGGGTTCGTAGACATTGTTTAAACCTTTGGCGGCTGTGTTCCAAGCGTTTTGCTACACAGTAATTTTCTTAGTTTTTGTGGCTTCTTATACTGTTTTTAAATAAAAACATGGGTCCTAAGAAAGAGTTTTTTGAAAAGAACCATGACAAATCAGGAACTGGTTAACCATGTTATCAATATTGTTATCAATATTGTTGATGATAATTTTGTAAATCCTTTTAGAAAACAGTTAAGGAAAATGCCAACAGCAGACCACATTAGACAGATTTTTTTTTTTAGAGAAAGCCAGCCAGGTCCTAGTGAAAAAATGGCAAAGAAGGGGGAAAACTCCTGAAAGGCAGCTACCAGTTAATTTTATATAAGGGGATTCGCCTTCCAATGCCTCTCTCTCCATCCCTGAGCTCCACATACGTGTCCACAGATCCAGGTCCTCATCACTCTCAACACACTGTAGTTGTTAAAAACTTTAACGTTGTGTTTCTTATTTAAATTATATTATTGAGCTCTGAACTTATTTACTTGGAAATCTCCGTGTAATGTTTTGTACAAAAAGGCAATGTTAGGGTAAAAACTTGGTTGCCGAGAATAGATTAATCCGTTTTGTTATTTCTTAGGGGAAAAATTGATCCAGAACTCAACCGCATCACATCTCCTTCCAGAACAGATTAGTGTCAAGGTCCGGGGTTCTTCTGTCCCTGGGAGCTCAAATTGAGTCCTAAACTCAATGAGAGCTTCAAATTGCTCACAGGAAAATGACATTATCTTTTAATCCCATTTTTCCATGAACTTTTTAAGCCCCTCTTGTACATAGTATTTTAACCTTCCCTTCTGGTTACTTCCTTAACAAAGTAAGATGAGAATCCCCAAGCCATCTCGAAAGTACAAACTACCCCCCAAAGAAATGAGAGCACAGTTCTTGCATTTGATGTGAGTCAAAATTGACACCAAGGCAGTGAACTTTGTGCTTACTGGACGCAAGGCTCTCTAACACTGGATCATTGCAAAGTAGTATGGACTAAAGGGGCAATCGATAAGGGAGCAAGCGCAGTCTCAAGGGGGAAGATATAAAGAGGTGGGATCTTTACAAGCTTCACTCTAACGCTGAGAAAGTACAGCATTCCCCATTCAAGCAACACTACCCTGTCGTACACACGCCTCCATTTTCCTGAATGTTTAAACTTAGTCAACTCTCTGGCCCTGCTCTGTGCACGCTCTTCTCTGGACTTTCCGTCATTTATTCAACCACACTATTCAGCCAGACGCCGCTCTAGGTGGTGCTGGAAATAGCAGTTTGAAAGACTAGCAGGGGAACCGTGTGCCTCGGGCTTACTTTAGAGAAGGGTGCAGACCAGGGATGGAAGGGGGACGAGGGCTCGAGAAATTAAAAAGGGCAAGATAATTTTTGGATGGGTAAAGAAAAACGGGATGAGGCTGAGGGGGAGCCTGCAGTGCATCCATTGGTCCCTTTGCCTGGACTTGTTAGCCTCAGTCCACCGCAGTCCGCTCAGCACTTACCACTCCGCATTCTCACTATCATTCGGCTCCCTGTAGCCCCCACCACTATGTAAACTATGGTCATCTGAAAATGCCTTTTTTCCCCCCCGGCCAGGCACATAAATATGCATCGATGAATATAGGTTAACTCCAAGTACCGCTGCCGTGAAAGAACGAATGAAAGGCTGGAAGGCATGGCTCAGGACTGACCTGAGACCCTTCAGCGGGTCTAGGAAGCAGGAAATAATCGTTCCCACGCCCCCCAAACAGCCACAGGTAGTCCACTGTCGGGGGTACCCGCCCCGGCCCGGGACCCCGTCTCGGGGAAATAGCCCCGGG